GTACCAAAGAATTTTTCTTGCATAGATCTTAGGTTGGAAACATCTGTTTCTTGCAATTAAGCCTTATAAAAATCTATTTTCCTACAATTTATTTTGGAATTTTATCCTGCAATGTCCCCAGGTTGAGTCAGTGTCCTCATGTCGAGTCTTTCTTATGATTTTTTTCTTAAAAAATAAATGTCCCCATGTCAAGGCGTCCGCATGTGGGAGTCTCACTGTACTTTTAGCCACTTTTGATCACTCCATCATTGATACTTTTCTACACCTATCATGCGCATGACTTGGTTCAAAGCGAAAATTTCAAACTTTGTCGACATACTTTCTACTTTAAGGGTTGTTTTCGTAAGCGAGGTTTTTGAAGTTGCTCAACTATTCCAGCACACGGAAATGTATCCATGAGAACTTACCCTCGTTCTGCAACAAGCATGGAGTTGACGATCTTGAGAAATTGCATCACTCGTTCATCCAGATGCAAGTCTTCTAAGCCCTTGAAAAGGAATGGATACCTGCACAACAAAATGCGAACATTAACCCAAAAAACTTTTACAACTGGAAGCAAAAACACCAGCAACGCCAGGGCATAAAACACACGGTGATCATATTTTGTTACGTAGAGGAAATGATGTTGCATCACTCCTATTCGATATGACCAAATGAATTACCTTTTGCCGTCGGAGCCCTTCACGACGAGTTTCTTTGGACGAGTTTTGGTAGGAAGAATTTGCACGCTGCTTTCAAATCCCGCAATGGTGATCCAATCTTGTTTACCCATAGCATTATTCACACTTCCAGGAACAGCGATCACAGTATGCTTCAAACCGGCGAGAGTCGGTGAAATATCAGCCAGTTTTAAAAGACTATTGATTTGTGATTTCTCCGACACGCCTTTTTGCCTCAACCATTGTTCCAACGCAACAATTTCATTCAGTGTATTTTTTGGTTGTTCGGGATGCTTCGGATTTCGCAAGCAATGCAAGGTATTCTCGATTACAGAACCTGCAATAAAAATTCGCGCGTCTTGTACTCCACAAAAGAAAAGAAAAAATCCAGATCGTACCAAATTTATCTTGAAACCACAATTCGTGCTTTGTTTCCGCCTCCCCACCAGTGATTTCATGTAACTGCTCCAGAACAAACAGAATTGGCTTGACAAGCACATCGAACTTTCCTCGAACGATGGTCTTCTTTTCTTCGAAACTGAGAAATTGGTTTGATTGAACTTTTTTGACTTCGCCTTCCAACTGCGCTAAGCGACGATTCAAGTGCGGCAAATTGTGCAGCACAGATCTAAAACGAGAACAGTAAACACGTGTGCACACAAAAAAACCCATTCTGAAAAAGAGTATCAACGTACCCTAGCCAGGCTTCATCCCAAAGCAATGTAATTCGCCTTAGTTCACGAACTAGAGTCTCAACTTCCGCAACATGCTCTCGATTCGTTTTGGTCAATGCATCCAGCAAAGCCACGTAGCACGTATTCACCAAAATTTCCGTATCATTATCTTCGCCAAAAGGTTTTGATCTTTCCTTCCCAAGAGCTATGTCGTCTTCTTCATCAGCTTCGAAGTCTTTCGGATTGGACTCTTCAGCAGCATCTTTCGAGTCTTCTGGCGCCTCCAACTTGTCCCAAAGGTCTTCAAAACAAAATTTAAAATTTCGAGCAAGCCATAAACTGTAATTTCAAGTACAGTACTGTAAATGGTTCTCCTATTTAGAACAAATTATTGAATAAAACTCTGCGTTGATTTCAGAGTTCATGGTAACTCTGCACTGAATAAAAGCCATTTGGGAAATGCGTGCCTTTTGAGCCTTTCGGGAAAATGCGACTCCTCTGAACTGATCACATGTTTCAAATTTCAAACAAACCTTTCGCTCGGCTTTCGTTCACATTTGGTAGCGTACACGACGCCCCCACGACAGCAGGAAATACGATTAGGTGAGGGTAATCCTCGGCCAAACGACAAACCAGGTCACTCAGCCACTTTCGCACGGAAATATTTGGGTTACTCAGACTGGAAAACAGCTGCGGAATTATGAGTTTCCAAGGAAACGTTGGTGTTCGTGCCCAACCATCTTCCAAAGTAGGTGACATGTGATTCGCGTGACGGACTGTCAATGATAAAATTCTCAGCGTTGCTTTCGCATCCTCCATCGGTCGTGATTTCGAATCACCACCCTGCATAAGAAATAAATCATAACTCATCGGTATCGTTCGGAATGGCACGACTGCATCACAAGTTTGAACGGACAGTTCAGCGGATTAAAAATACAGTCGAATCTCTTCAAGTCGAGATTCAAGGGACCAGCCAAAACATTCGACTTCTGGAGGTTTCGAGTTAGGGAAACAAACATTTGTGTTGGGGAAAAGAAAGAAGAGTGACAGAAAATTGTCATTGGTATTATCTTAAGCCTTGAATCGCTTTCTAAATGAGTTGAGAAGATCCTCAACTCGGAGGCTAGGGTTCATTTGTTCATTCAGCATTAGTCTCACTTTTTTTTCAGAACATATCAAGTGACATTTTTAATGCTTTTCTCTTCCCTCTGTGAATAAAATAATAGTCAAGAAGCCTCCAGATATTTAAAAATTACAGAGGTTTGAGGAGAAAAGCCTTCCAGCTAGGAAAGTTTTTAAGGCAGTGTTTAATTGTTTCTAAGGGAATTCAGACAGGGACTTGAAAGTGGCATTTCGACATTCGACTTACGTAGGTTCGAGTTATCAAGGTTCAACAGTAGTACGCTCCAGAACAGCATATATCCATAACAAAGCGAGCATGAGATTAAAATAACTATTTTCGAAATAAGAAAGCAGCATTCTTGGAAAATGGCTTCTGAGTGTCGAACAATGATGTATAGGTCAGGTGAGAGGAATCGAACTTGAAACTTTTCGATAAGGTATCTCCATCAATAAAATTATAGAACATATTATATGCCTTAGTCGATTTTATACTAAACCTTTGTTCCTCTTCTGGCATTTTTCTTCGTTTGCATGACTTTGCCCTTGGAGTGTTCGTGTTTTTAGACTTTACTTCATGAACAAATGCTCAACTGTCCCAGGCCAACGAAGTTCACGCTATTCATTTCTTTCGTTAATATGGAGCCTCTCTCCAATTTCATACCTCCGACTGACGCATGGATAAGCACTTGAAATAAGCTTCCGCACAAGCTGAGTGATACGCGAAAGCTTTCGACATTCCGTCCTCGGCGATGTCAAGCACTTGTTCCAACAGTTCTCGTCGATTCGGAGTCACAAGCCACGGACACTGTCTAGCCAACTCTTCGTTCAATTTGCTTCTCGCAAACGAGACTTCGTCGACATAAACGCATTCCTCGTTGACACTTCCATTTGAAAAGCCGCGGGATAACGACTGCGCCCAATGTTCAGTCAGGATCGTTTCAATTTTCACACGTTCCGCCCGACTTTCGGTCGACAACGGAGGGAATAAGCGGTCCAATGCGTGTTTCTCGTCGTCAATAATGCTAGCAGGATTTTCTCTGAAAATTAAAAAAAAATGACATAGAAAAGAGAATCCGCATACGCTAATTCTGAAAAAATTGTTTCCGAGCTTAGCTTGCCTAAATTTACATTGACCTCGGGTTTTCTTCAACCACGTCGTTTTATGTGAAGGACAGAAATGACTGCACGCCTTATAATTGATATCCAGTACTGTATCCTTTCAAGTGATGCAGAAGTGAAGCCATTACATAGAGAAAGCGAACACGAAAAAAAGGAACGAGCATGGATTTTGGGAAATCTACACATGGGACACGCACAGAAAAATGGGGATGAAAAATTCAAGTCTGTGATGAACTTTTACGTTAGGCACCGTTCTTAAACAAGAATTAGGATGCCGAATTCGGTGGGAGTTGTACATAGCAGATCTCATTCACACACAAAGTATTGTTCTTTTTATGCTTGTGCATGATAAGGCTGATCACGCACAACTTCGAAAAGCATCAAATCAATCCAAAAACTATGCATTCTTTACGACTAGCTATGTTGTTGTCGTAAATTAGTTTATTTAGATCTTCTACAATCTTTTAAATCCGGACGTCTCTAGATTCTCCAATTGTACAACTTACCGTCGCAAGTTATGTTTTAAACTAATTTAGACAATTCCTTGAGAGGAGATTTCTTGATCCTTGTTACCGGGCAAAGTAAATTCAACTCCTCTTTTATCAAAATGGGTAAGTGAGCTTTATTTCGTGTTCAACAGTAGAGATACTATACGCAACAAACTTCGGACAGCAATGAGCGCGCGATCAACAGAGAACAGGCGGCTATATAGATTCGGTCAAGTAAAGTTGGGCAAGAATGGTCAGACCCGGATCTGACATTAGACAATTCCTTGAGAGGAGATTTCTTGATCCTTGTTACCGGGTAAAGTAAATTCAACTCCTCTTTTATCAAAATGGGTAAGTGAGCTTTATTTCGTGTTCAACAGTAGAGATACTATACGCAACAAACTTCGGACAGCAATGAGCGCGCGATCAACAGAGAACAGGCGGCTATATAGATTTGGTCAAGTAAAGTTGGGCAAGAATGGTCAGACCCGGATCTGACCTCATTCTAGGTGAGGTTGCGTAACCTTGTGGATTCAACAGTAGAGATACTATACGCAACAAACTTCGGACAGCAATGAGCGCGCGATCAACAGAGAACAGGCGGCTATATAGATTCGGTCAAGTAAAGTTGGGCAAGAATGGTCAGACCCGGATCTGACCTTATTCTAGGTGAGGTTGCGTAACCTTGTGGCGCGTGACTCGCGGGAGATCACGCGGCGGAACCGTGAGACAGACGACGTGACTTTATTCGGAGCGTCGTCTGCTAGGTGAAAGAGGATGAAAAGGGAACGCAATAAAGTTATCGATGACAA